CCCCTCCCCTTCTCTTTCCACATGTTCCTGGCCCAGCCAGCCTCTCCTCTACTCTCCCTTTCCTCCTCCCCCCCCTCCCCCCCCCCCCCCCCCTCCCTCTTCCTCTCTCTCTCTCTCTCTCTCTCTCTCTCTCTCTCTCTCTCTGCCTCTACTAACCTCCTGGCTCCCCTCCTCGTGCCCTGAATAAATTCTATTTGATGCTATAGCAGTGTGTGGCTGGTTCCTCAGGGGGACGAGATGCCTCGGCATGGGCCAGCTGAGACATCCCCTTCCCCCATACTTCTCCACACACCCACAGAACATACTCTCTTTATCTTTTTATGAACACATCAACTTTTTTTTCCAGAGAAAACAGGTTACCTTTGGATGTAAGTTGTATGAGCCCAGGACCACAGGAAGCTGCTGTGTCCATCAGCCCGTGCAGCCCTCAGTGTAGGGGCTACCCCAGTAACACCACCTACTTACTCTCTTTGTTCGTGTGGCTCTCACGAGGAAAAGCACTTGTAGAGCTCCTGGGTGAAGGCTTTGATCTGAAATAAAGGATGGTTTCTCAGACAGAGCTGAGGTGGAGGTGTAACCCCGAGGGCTCTGCCTCCAGGAAAGGATTGGCCTGGATGGTTGGGTTCATGGTAGAGTGTATGCAGGGCACTAGGTGGGTATTCCAACAGGGTCCAGTGTCAACCAGTGCCCTCCTGGCACAGGAGTGTCCAGTGCCAGGACTGGGATGTAAAGAGTTGGTGATGGGACCTGCCCTGCCTGACTGGGGAGCAGGTGGGGGCCAGTCCATGTGGAGCTGCCCGCCAGAGCCGTTTGAGCCCCCATCTCTCAGTTTTCAGTTCCTGAGCAGAACCGTCGTCAGAGCAAGGTCAAACAGGTCTGGAGCTGTTTTTTTCTGTCATCCCAACCCATTGTCATCACCGTGATCTAAGCCTTACGCTAGCCTGAGTTGTGGTTAGGGGAGTTTCAGAGTGAGCATGCTCAGGCCCCCCACTACTTCCTGAAACCTCTCAGCTGGGCCTGCAGAGGGGCGCTCAGTGCTGCCTCAGAGTTGCCTCAGAGCTGGCCTGCTCCGTGCTGCCTCAGAACTGGCTTGGGTAAGTTAGCGAATCCTAGATCTGGGGAGTGGGTCTGGGATGGGAGGCCAGGCCCGCTACAGTGGTTTCTGAGAGAAATGTGATTTGATGGTATAATAGTGTGGCTTGGCCCAAAGTGTTTAACCAAGGCCTGTCCCTAAGAGGGAACTCAAGGGCACCATGCCCACCTATGTAGGAGCACAGGGACAATGACATATTGTCAGACTGCCCTTCCCCCAACCTACGGCGTGCTTCTGGAAGATCTTTACCCCAACTGTAGATACAGAGGAAAGTGGAAGGACTGGACTTCCTCTGACAGGGAGCTGAGGGTCACGAAAGCCTTGGAAACATTCTGGGCAGTATGGTTGGTGGGGCTAGGAGTTACCTAGGGTTAGAGGTCAGCTCTGAGGAGGGATGAATGAGACAGTGGGGCTCTACTGGGATAGGCTGTCTGGTCATGGGGCTAGATCCTAGAGCTGGCCACTAACCAACTCCTGGGGCCAGGCATTTGGAGTGCCTGGCAGAGGAGATCTTGTAACTTCTGCTAGATTTTCGAGGGTAGACTCATGGAGTGTTCGGGTTAGCCGCTGAGGACTGTGAGCAGTTGTTATGGTTTTACTGATGAGGGCACATGGCGCAACGTCTCAGGGGGTTTACCACGCAGAGGGGTGAGAACGGAGATACCCCGAGGGAAGGGGAGAAGGAGGAGTAGCTGCCGAAAGTACTCAGCTTAGACATCAGTCGAACTGAAATGTGCGTTGCTGAGAAGCGTGGTGTGGGGGATGGGCCCCCACACCCACATGATGTAGAGTTGACACTAGTAATTTAACTGCCAAACGGCGTACTGAATTTGAATCAGTGTTCTGAGTTTGAGGACAGAAATGAGGATGAAGGGTTGTTTGTTTGTTTGTTTGTTTGTTTTGCCTTTCTCCTTTTTCTTCTCCTCTCTCTCTCTCTCTCTCTCTCTCTCTCTCTCTCTCCTCTCTCTCTCTCATGTGTATGTGTGCATGTATGTGTGTGTTTCCATGTGTATGGGCACATATGTGTATACACGCATGTGAATGTGGGGGCCAGAGATTGATGTTCAAACTATCCCCAGTTGCTCTTCCACTTTCTTCCTTGAGGCAGGGTCTTTCGTTCAAGCCCAGAGTCTACAAATGTGGCTATTCTCGCTAGCTGGATTGCTCTGGGGATCTCATCTCTATCCTCTGAGAGTAGAACTATAGGTGGGCTGCCACAGGAACTAGGCATTTCTGTGAGTTCTGGGGACCCAAATACTCTTATCGCTGAGCTGTTTCCCCGCCGGCCCCAGAAAAGCCTGTCGGAGGGTAGGAAAGTGAAAGACCAAAACAACCAAAACAACCAGAAGTTCCTGTGATGGAGAAATGGGGCACAGTGTGCTGGTGACTCAATGGGCCCCCCTGGCTTACAGTTCACCCCTCCGAGTGACAGACTTCCTTTTGTGTCTTCCTGTCCGTTAAGAAAGCGCCACGGTCAAGAGATTGACAGGACCATCATCGATGGTGGCAGAGTGCAGGGCTCAAGGACCATAGGCACCACAGGTGGCATGTTGCCTGTGCGCCCTGGTGACTCCAGGTACCTCTCTTCTTCAAAGATGGGTCTACCGAGGAGAGGGGCTCTGTGGTGTGGGAGTGGCTCTAGCGAAGGCTGGAGACAGGAGTGTGGAAGTTTGAAGGATGGTGGGGGCCAGGCGGCCACCAAGAAGGTGTGGTTTGAAGACAGGCTGGATAAGGTCACATGAGTCTGAGGACTGGTGGACAAGGGGAAGCAGGGACATGGTTGGGAGTTAGGATAGGTAGAAGAGGACATCCTGGGATCATGGGCCCATTCACCACGCAGCCTGGTGGCTACAAGTGATGTGCCAGGGTCAGCATTCCAGTTGTGCTGCCCTTTGTCCGTCGGACACTTGATGGCATTCAGCCTGCCATAGGTCCCTTTGAGTAATGGAGTCCACCAGGCCAAGCAGACATCACGAGTATGGTGGTAAACCATGTGGGGGTCTGGCCTTTGTGGGTGTGGCAGGCCTCATGAGTACGTACAGTAGGACATTCTCTGCCACGTTCTCAGAGGGTTTGGGGGCACACTGTTGCCGAGTCCTGAGGAAAGCTGGCCATGGTCTTCTACCCTCAGGGGTCAGCCACTTCCAACTCTCTCACAGATGACACACAGCACCAAAGAAGGCCCAGGATATCAAGAGGAAAAGTCACTACCCACAGCCGGGCCAGCCCCCCATGACAGAGAGGCCAGTGTCTGCTTCTTGGAGAAGACAGATACAAGGCTCCTTCTCTTCTACCTCATCTTTCTACGTCCGTACTCAGTTCAGGGATTCATAAGATGGTGTCGCCCAGCTGCACTTCTGAGAGAAGCCTATATCTTGGAGCGTGGGGCTGTTGACCCTTGCTCCTTCCTGTGGAAGAAATAGTTTAGTTGTTGCAAGATGGCTACAACAACTGATCTGGCCAGGTTAGGGACTCTCGGAGTTTGGACAGGAAAGGGAGAGGCTCTGAGTGTTCTGAGGGAGACCCTTTGACACAGAGAAGACGACAACTGAAAAGGAAGTGGTAGGTTGGAAAAGAGACAAGCCTAAGGCATGACGTGCCCTCAGCACAAAAGATAATGACAAGAATACAAGGCCAATAGCTTCATCAGCTACCCAGGAACAGCCATGGTGAGGGGCCACACTATAGGGTAGGGATTTAAGAGCCCCCCTCTCTCTAGTGTCCCAGTGCAGGCTGTTCTGGCCTACGCCTCATAGTTGTTCTCCTTCGATTGTAAGTGTTGATGCCCTGAGGGTTAGCAACGTGACCCATATGCAGATATCACGGGCCTTGTTTTGTTCTGTCTAGGCTGAGCAGTTAACCCCAATAGCCTGCTCTGTCTCCCCGGCCATGCTCTGTCCACAGGTGACAGGGATGTGACCTGCAGCTATGACAGTTTCCCACAGAGCATCCTCACCTCAGGAGGGAAGTTCTTGTCAGGTTTTCTGTTGAGCCCTTGCTTCCTCTGGTTTCTGCACAGTGGCTGAACACCAAACACCTCTCCCTTCCCCATACTCAGGGTTGCTGGGTGCTTAGGACAAACATGGTCCATTCCCTGTAAGGGACAGACCTGCCCCAGGCTGGCTCTGCAGCTGGCTTTGCAGAACTCTAGTTGCAGGGATGGAAGGTGCAGGCCTCTCACGGTGAAGACTCTGAGGCTCCAGGCGCTGCTCCATGCAGTCATGTGCTCATTCGCTAGAACATGTGTGTGTGTGTGTGTGTGTGTGTGTGTGTGTGTGTGTATGTGTGTGTGATGATTAGTGATATTTTGAATTTGGAAGGAGCAGAAGTTTGCTGAGCCAGATGGAGAGCAGAGACTGACCAGCAAGCCATTATGGCCCACAGCCTGCTCAAGGCTGAAACCCAGAGGGACAGGTGGACACCTGTCCCAGTGCCCAGTAGGTCAAGGCATGGTGGGGTGATGCAAGGAACCTGCTAAGGGACAATTCTTGGCAGTGGCTCTTCTTGCCCTTCCTGGCTTTGCCTCCCTTTAGTGTATATTGAGGCATTACTTAAAACTTCTTCAGAGGTCAGTGACCTTCTGTAATCTCAGGTGAATCGTTTAGCTTCCTGTTTTCAGAAACTCTTGAGAAGGAAGAAGGAGAGCTAGGACCTGGTGCTGACTTGTGAGGCTCCAGGGCTTCCTATGGACATCTGTGGGCTCAACCTCACTTGGACTGGCTTCCATAGGACTCCAAAGGCCACTCCCAAAGGCCCAGTGTATTCTGGGCAGATACTGTGATAATCTGCCTGACTGAGGGGCAGCCGTGTGTGTTGGGGGAGCAGGGTGGGCAGGCAGGTCACATCCTTAACTTTTTAGGTCATTATTTAATCAGGAGAAAAGAATTCCCCAGGAGGAATTTTAGCAAGTTCAAAGCTAAACTTTCTTAAGGTTGTTGGAAACTGACTGCAAAGTCGGGCTCTGAAATATTTGTACCCATAATGTAGCTTCAGGGTACCATGTCTTCAGTCTCCGGAACATTGATTTAGTTATTTTTGTCAACCTGATAGGCAGAAAAACAAAACAAGATGAAACAAAACAACAATAAAACAGAAGACCTTTCTTCATGCTTATTTTGCATTTCTTGATCTTTGGGGAGCGCTTCTTAATTCTTCTGTGCAAGCTCAGGTGCCGTCAGCTTTGCCAGCTATAACTAACAAATAACGTTCTTAACTATGGTATCCAGGGTGATGCTTTGATGCTCGCCGGCTTCCCTGGTGCCTGGTTGTCTGTACTGCATTACCTTTTGTTGACTGTGGGATGCTCTAGACTCTTTGTTGAATGAGTCAATCTGGAATGACAGGCATTGCAACAGCATGCCTGGCTGGCTGGCTGGATGGCTGGCTGGCTGGCTGGATGGATGGATGGCTGGCTGGCTGGCTGGCTGGCTGGCTGGATGGATGGATGGATGGATGGATGGGTGGATGGATGGATGGATGGGTGAGTGGATGAGTGGATGAGTGGGTGGATGGATGAATGGATGGGTGGATGGGTGGGTGGATGGATGGATGGATGGGTGGATGGATGAGTGGATGGATGGATGGATGGATGGGTGGGTGGATGGGTGGGTGGATGGATGGATGGATGGGTGGATGGATGAGTGGATGGATGGATGGATGGATGGGTGGGTGGATGGGTGGATGGATGGGTGGATGGATGGGTGGTGGATGGATGGGTGGATGGATGGATGGTTTATTCTCAGTGGCTTTTGTTTTGTTTGCATTTTCACCTAACTCCATTTCAACATGCTCTTTCTCCAGGTCATTTTGAGCTGTCAGAGCCACCTTCACAAGGGGATGCACAGAACGCACATAGGAGCCACTATGAGATCAGAACCCACCAATGCAGCAGGTGAGAGAGTCTTGTTTAACTGAGACATTGAAGAAGGCCCACAAGAATTCCTATGTGGTACACTTGGTCTCACCTTTCAGAACTTTTGTTTTTTTTTTCAAGACAGGGTTTCTCTGTGTAGCCCTGGCTGTCCTGGAACTCACTCTGTAGACCAGGTTAGCCTCGAAATCTCGAATTCAGAAATCTGCCTGCCTCTGCCTCCCAAGTGCTGGGATTAAAGGCGTGCGCTACCACCGCCCGGCTCACCTTTCAGAACTTAACATGCAGATTCCTGTAATAAAAACAGAATCAGACTTGCTCCATCCAGAACTCCAGATGCAAGGGGCTGGAGATGTGTCTCAGTTGGTTAGAGCTCTCGTTGAGCATGAAGCTTTGGGTTTAATCTCCACCATCACATAAAACCACGTACAGTAAGCGACACATGCTAAATAATGCCTGTGAAACCATCTGGGGACCAGAGGCTATCTCAATCATCAGTAGACCTCAAGACATACTCACTTCACAATTGTTTTGACAAGTGCTAGAGAAAGCCAGGCACAGGAGTGAGAAGACATTTTGCACTCTGAACATATACTTCCTGTGACCGTGACAAATGCTGAGTCACAAGCCATCTGGTGACCCAAGAGAGCTTTCAGGAGGTCCCAGTAAGCAGTTGATCAGGAGCTTCCCATGGCTTTCCGTGATGCCACCTTAACCTTCTTTTCATTCCAGAAGCTCCTCCCTACCCCAGGGAGGTGTTTCTAAGGTAACCTGCAGGGATGTGGGGATGTGAGGCCACACTCATCATCAGACGGTATATGTGGCAGGACCCAGTGTCCACAGCAAAGATCCAAAGGCTCATATGGGCTTGAGCAGGCGGCAAGAGACAACCATGCCAGGGTGTCTGTAGCTGTTCCGTGTGGTACTGGGAAAAGCAAGGCTGTAGGTTGGTCCCAGACTGTGTTCCTTGCAGTTTTTAGAAAAACTTCATGGTGTGTGGATAGGGTGGGATGCGGTGGGGAACAGAGATAGAGCACCTGAACTGGGATCGAGCGGTGAGACAGACAGGACAGCAGGACAGAGGGGTGTCTGAACCAAGGAGAGGGAATAGACTACCATGCCTGAGGGTGTTTTCCCAATGGGAAGAGCTACCCAAGTAAGGAGCTGTCTAAACACCTACAGCTGTCTATGGGCTCATCCCTCACCCTCACTGCCTGCTGGCCCCACATAGGTTCTGATGCCAAGATTTAGCACTGGGCCCCAAGGCAGCTCACCACCTCTGGAACCTCAAGCTCACTTTCTCTATCCAGATGTGTAACAGCATGCCTCTGAGTGGTGAGCCAGGGCTCCCAGGCTGTGGGAGGAAGGTGCCTCACACCCACTGTCAAAAAGGAAGAAAAATAAAGCAGAAGCTGTCTAGCTCTGCGGATGGGGTTGTAAATCGGAGAAGGCACTTGAAAGCAGCACGGGCTTCCTCAGAGTAAACACAGTGGCCACGTGACCCAACAAGCACACTTTGGGGTGTACCCAAAAGGAGACAGCAGGGACAGGAGCCGGGGACACCAATGCTCACATTGCTCATAACAGACCAGTGATGGCAAGCAGCCTAGGTTCCGTGCACACATGACAAGTATCCAAGTGTCTGTGTGTGTTCACTGTGGAATGTTCACTGAGGGATGCTAGTCTGTCTTAAAAAGAAGAGACGTTCTGACACATTCTATGATGTGAGTGAACCCGGAGCGTAGTACGCTCAGTAGACTAAACCTGCATTGGTGATGAATCCATTTGTGTGAGGCCGCTCTACAGAGGCTGTGTGTGTGTGTGTGTGTGTGTGTGTGTGTGTGTGTGTGTTTCTAGAAGAGCTCTGGTCTGCAGGCTGAGAAGATTCTAGAGGTGGGAACAGGCTTGACTCTGCACAGCGATGTCCTTAGTGACAATCAGCTGCATGCTGAGGAATGAAGGATTCGGGGAGAACGTTGTGTGCTGTCTGAGTTTCATCGGGATTAAAAAGGAAGCCCAGAAAACATATCCGTTGCCTAAGAAAGTATCAGACTCTGGTTGGGGACAGGTCACCTTCCTAACAAGGAGCCCTCGCTTGAAGAGCAGTGCAGTTCTTAGCTGACATCCTGTCACTCAGATGACCAAAGTGGTCCTGGAAGCCATGCAGGATGAAGATGACAGCATGAATAGCTGAGATCCCAGGGAGTCCAGGACAACCAGGGCCGTGGAACAGGTATCAGCCTTGGACCAGGAGACAGTGTCCTTGGGGCCTCCAAATCTGAGCCACAACATGGCTGAAGGTTTCTCCACCAGATGGCCACTGTGGCCATAGAAAGATGGTGTGAAGAGAACTTACCCGCCCACATCCGTCAAGGCCTGGGGTTGGTGTATATCCTAACCACTGTCTGGTCCCACTGGCTTCCTCCAGGTGGAGTCTTTTGAACTCCTGATGTGTCTAGTTTGAAGTCTGTGAAGCTTCTCTTTTACTTAAAATTTTTATTTATTAATTGAGTGTGTGTGTGTGTAGCAGGCATACATGTGCTACTGAGTGTGTGTTACAGGCATGTACGTGGACTATGTGTGTATATCAAGCATGTATGTGCACTGTGCATCTGTAGCAGGCATACATGTACACTGTGTGTGTGTATCAGGCATGTGCGTACACTGTGTGTATGTATCAGGCATGTGCGTGCACTGTGTGTGTGTAGCAGGCATGTGTGTGGACTGTGTGTGTGTAGCAGGCATGTGTGTGTGTAGCAGGCATGTGTGTGGACTGCGTGTGTGTAGCAGGCATGTGTGTGGACTGTGTGTGTGTAGCAGGCATGCATATGCTCTGTGCAGCTGTAGCAAGCATGTGTGTGCACTGTGCGTGTGTAGCAGGCATGCATGTCATGTATACAGTGCACATGTGAAACTCAGAGATCACCTCAGCTCATCAGGGTCCGCCACAAGTCTGTTTTACCTGCTGAGTCATCTCTCCACCCCCAACCCATCGAGCATCTTATTTTTTCTTGGTATCATAAGTCTCCTTGAATCGGGGTAGTTCCATAAACTCCTACCACTGTGTCATTTCTGTCCCACAGGAAACACCACACTGGGGGTTGCCTCTATTCTTCAGACTACCTCAGTCCCCTCCTCTGAGACCTGCCGTGTATCCTACGAGGACAGCAGAGTGGTCCTGGTGGTGGTGTACAGTGTCGTGTGCACGCTGGGCCTACCGGCTAACTGCCTAACTGCCTGGCTGACGCTGTTGCAAGTCCTGCAGAGGAACGTGCTCGCCGTCTACCTGTTCTGTCTGTCCGTCTGCGAGCTGCTCTACGTCAGCACCTTGCCGCTGTGGATTCTCTACATCCAGAATCGGCACGAATGGAGCCTGGGTCAGCAGGCCTGCAAGGTGACCGCTTACATCTTTTTCTGCAACATCTACATCAGCATCCTTCTGCTCTGCTGCATTTCCTGCGACCGCTACATGGCCGTCGTCTACGCACTGGAGAGCCGAGGCCACCGCCACCGGAGGACTGCCGTCACCATTTCTGCGTGCGTGATTGTTCTGGTCGGACTCGTTCACTATCCAGTGTTTGACATGAAAGTGGAGAAGGGCTTCTGCTTTGAGCCCCCGAGAATGAACAGTAGGATAGCCAGCTACCACTTCCTGCGTTTCACCTTTGGCTTTGCCGTCCCTCTCGGCATCCTAGCGTTCACCAATCACCAGATCTTCAGGAGCATCAAACTCAGTGACAGCCTGAGTCCTGCGCAGAAAAACAAGGTGAAGCGTTCCGCCATCGCAGTCGTCACCATCTTCCTGGTCTGCTTTGCTCCCTACCACGTGGTGCTCCTCATCAAAGCTGCCAGCTTTTCCTTCTACCAAGGAGACAGGGATGCCGTGTGTGCCTTTGAAGGACGACTGTACACCATCTCTATGGTGTTTTTGTGCCTGTCTACGGTCAACAGTGTGGCTGACCCCGTCATCTATGTTCTTGTCACAGACCATTCTCGGCAAGAAGTGTCCAGAATCCACATGGGGTGGAAAAAGTGGTCCACAAAGACAGACCATACTTACTTTACTACGTACTTAAAGGACTCTGAGGAGACACACTCACCCACAGCTCTTGCAAACACATACACCTTCCCCGATCCTGCGAGCCTTCCAGGATCACAGCCGGCGGAGCTGACTCTACTGTGCTCGACAGAGAGACCGCCTGAGGAACTCTGCTAAACCCACCCTTCCTCAGGGGAGGATGCTAAGCCTCAAAACCAGCCACAGTCACATATACCTGGTTCTTTGAGTCACCCTCTAGAGTGTCCACAGCACTGTAGATGCCTTTTTGCAACACCCACTGTTAATCTTTCCTTCTCAGGCCATCAACTCTGAAAGTGTCGGTTCCTTAGATGTCCGAGACCTTCAGGTTCTCCTTTATGGAAAGCGACACTTGCTAAGGGCACCTGTCATATCCCTAGGCTTCCAGGGGCTCAGGGAGCAAGTGGCTGGCAGGAGAGCCCTTTATCAGCAGCATGCTCTGCAGGGCTCCCCAACAGCCATCATCAGGGCGCTTGGCAGAGTACTTTGTTTTCTATGCTCTCCTGAATTGTCCAGTGGCAATTCAGTTCATCTTGGGGCTTTCCATAGAGATGGACATGAACTCATTCAAGGTTACCATGGTGACCAGAGTCACAGAGGATAGGAATCCAGCCCTGAGGGCTCCCTTTGGGGGCTGGTTCTGAGTGGACATAATTGTCTTCTAGGGGAGCCATGGAGTACAGTGGCCAGTTGCTCCAGCCCCTAGTAGCCCCGTATTTCCTCCCCAGGGACCCCCCCTCAACCATTCACACTAGGAAGTGCTAGTGGACACCCCAGGAAGAGGCTGGTATAGCTGCTACCAGATAAAAGGATATCTGGCATTTGGGATGCCTTTCTTTGCCTTGCAACCTCTGGCCTTGACATCACAGAGGAGATAGGCTGGGGCTCCTGAAAGAGCAAGTCAAGAGCAAGCCCCACTCTGCCCCTTTTTCTCCAATGTTGACTCTGAGAGCCTTGTCTTGCTGAGTCATTCCTGTACTTTCCGTTAGCTACCTCACTGGGTCAGTCACTGTTGGGACTGACACCGCCCCCTACCCCACCCCACCCCACTCTACCCCAATACACAGGCCAAGGACCCTGAGCTTGGCGGGCCTAGGCGCTGACCCTCCTGAAGTACACACATCCCGGATGCTGCACAGAGACTCTGACCTCAGAGGTTAACTTCAGTTCTTCCTTGTTAGAAGTACTGAGAACCAGAACACGGAGACAGGACTCGATCCCCACTTCCTTTCCTTACTGCTGTGTGGTTTTTTTTATTGCGTTTGAGACAGGGTTTCTTGGACCTCAGACTGATCTTAAACTCCCTAACAGAGGAGATGACCTGTTGTTTCCTGATCCTGTTGTCTCCACGCCCGAGGGTGGGATTACAAGTGTGCACCATCAGCCTTTAACTTCCTCTTTAGTGGTATTTGTTTGGTTTTTTGGGGGTATGGATGTGTGTGCAGAGCTGCGTGTGTGTGTGTTGACACCTGATATCTTCCTTGATTGCTCTCCACTTTATTTAGTGAGGCAGGATCTCACGCTGAAAGCAGAGCTCACCGATTTGGCTAGACTAGTTAATCGGCTTGCTCCAGCAATCCCTGTCACTGCCTTCCAAGCAGAGAGGTGGTACGGGCCGGCCGCCATGCTTGTTTTTGAGCCTCTTCAGCTTTGGTTTTTCATTTGTTATTTTTCTTGTTTTTGTTTTTTTCTCTATAGTCCTGGCTGTCCTCCATAGACCAAGCTGGCTGTTGTAGACCAGGCTGGCCTGGAACTCACAGAGATACCCCTGCCTCTGTCTCCTGATTGCTAGGATGAAATACATGTACCACCATGCCCAGCCCCATGCTCCATTGTCTGTGAGGGTGCTGGAGATCTGATCTCTGGTCTCATTTACACAGCGATCACCCTGTGAACTACCCCAACGCCACAGCCTCTCTACTTCCGTTTTAAAATGAGACTTTTTTTTTTTTTAACCTCTGTAGGCGGACATCTTTCCACTTGAAAGGTCAAACCCAGGACAGGAAGGTGAGCCCTTGGAACACGGGGACTCTAAGTGTACGTGATGTGGCAGTGGCGAAGGTCAGGAAGGTGAAGCAGGCCGTAGGTCCTTAAGGTTTTGCCCTGCCCTTGGCAAAGCGAAGCCAAACAAACCCCCATTTCCATACCCTTCTGCCAAGTACAACACAGGCTCTTTGCTCTGAAGCTGTAATCTGTCCCCATGCAGGACCGGGGCCTCCATCTGTCCTCCACAGGCCCCAGATGCCCTCTCTAGGAGCTTCTGCCTGTCTTAGCCCCTCTCCTCCCTTCAGCCTTAGGACTCTGACGTCACCCTTGGGCCAGCACCCCAGAAACACAGTATCATTGGAATCCTGTGTGGACTATGTGAACTGGCCTGACTGTCTCTGTGGGGAAGGCAGGTGACCAGGAGGTCCCGATGAATCCCAAGTGGCTCCTACCCTTGTGGGTCCTTACCATCATACACCCAAGGCTAGGTAAAATTACACATAGTGGAGGGGAACTAGACACAGGAAATGCCAACGGAGCTTATTGTACTCATAACAGAAGCACAAATTCTGGAATGACTAAGAAAGACAAAAGATCCCAGAAAGTGTTCCCACTGGTGATACCGTGGCCACGGACTGGTGACTACCCGTACTCCACCACAGGGATTTCCCAGTAGATTTATGGCCACCTTGTGGCCACAATCAGGCTGAGCAAATGTGTGTGTGTGTGTGTGTGTGCGCGTGTGTGTGCGTGTGTATGACTAAACACAGATATTTTTACTTTTTTACCACAGAGCTAAATCCCCAACTGGGAATTTCTACTTTTATAGGTTATCAGGAAAGCAACTAAAATCAACAGTCCGAGAGGCTGGAGACAGACGGGGGTGGGGGTGGGACCAGGAGTGGGCGTGTCTCTGAAGGTTCCTGGGAGTGATGGTGAGGTTAGAAAATGGATGCTTGGGGCTGGAGAGATGACTCAGGAGTTAACGAGCACTGACTGCTCTTCCAGCGGTCCTAAGTTCAATTCTCAGCAACCACACGGTGGCTCACAACCATCGGGTGTGTCTGAAAACAGCTACAGTGTACTCGATGCATTAAATAAATAATAAATAATCTTACAAAAAAAAAAAAAGAAGGAAAAAGGGTGCTTGAGGAGACCCAGATGGACCTAGGAAGCCTGGACATTGAAGCCCATAACACTGGCATAGCCCCTAACAGGAAGGGCGGTGATTACCCAGGGGGACTGTAGCCAGCGGAACCTTCAACCTGTATGGGCCAGGTCCATTCAGGAATGTACCAGGCAACTAGCCAGGGACTTGTTGCAAGCTTAGCTATGGAGTGCCTGGCTCTGCCTTCTGAACAGTAGAGCGACCACCGAAGCCTGTGCCTGCTGGCCTGTGTGGTCGTATCACCCCTGGGTCAGCCAGGACCTGATAGCTGAAGAAGTGGTGGGCAAGGCTGGCGGAGAGTAGGAACTCAGCCCCATCCGCTACCTTCTGACTATTGCTTTTTTCCTCTCACATGAGCAAAGGTCATGTCAGGGTGTTATCACGACCACAAGTGGGCCAGATCCTCTGTTCATGCCGTCAGCTGCATTCATTACTCATTCACTAATTCACAACCCAGTCACTATCTCATCCATTCACTCCTCACCCACACTCGTTCACTAGTTTACACACTCAGTCACTCAATTGCCTATCCACTCCTCGCTCACCCATAAACACATTTATTGGTTTACACACTCACAGTCACTCCCACCCATCCCCCACTCACCCACAAACACACTCATTAACTAGTTCACACACTCACTCAGTCACTCCTACTCATCTCCCCTCACTCAACAAGCACACTCATTCACTAGTTTACACACTCACAGTCACTGTCACCCATCCCCCCTCACTCACCCACAAACACACTCTTTCACTAGTTTACACACTCAGAGTCACTGTCACCCATCCCCCCCACTCACCCACAAACACACTCTTTCACTAGTTTACACACTCACAGTCACTGCCACCATCCCCCTCACTCACCCACAAACACACTCATTCACTAGTTTACACACTCATAGTCACTGCCACCCATCCCCCCACTCACCCACAAACACACTCATTCACTAGTTTATACACTCACTCACAGTCACTGCCACCCATCCCCCCTCACTCACCCACAAACACACTTATTTGCTAGTTTATACACTCACTCAAGTCACTGCCACCCATCCCCCTCACTCACCCACAAACACACTCATTTGCTAGTTTACACACAGTCACTCCCACCCATTCCCTCCCACTCACCCACAAAGACACTCATTCACTTATTCCCCACTCCATCACTGATTCATTCACCCCTCCCTCTTTCCCTGTCTCACATGCCATACTCTTTCCATTCCTCCCTTTCCTGCTCACTCTCACCCTCACTCATCTCTCCCTCCATCTCTCGCACACTACTGCTCTCTCTCCTCCGTTTCTTCCTCCCTCCTTGGCCTACCTACACCACAAAGTGCCCCTGTAGTCCGGTAGTGAGGGAGGTGGGCCATGGTGAAGATCACCGTGCTGTCCTGGGGTTTGTGGAGGAGGAATGGAGAATGGGAGTGTCTTAGGGTTGCTGTAATAAAACGCGGTGACCCAAAGCAGCTTGGGTAGGGGTGGGGGAGTTAGTTCAGCTTGCGTGTTCTGGTTGCAGTTCATCGTGAAGGGAACGTATTGATATGGGAGGGTCCAACTCACTGTGGGCGGTGCCACCCCTGGGATGGCAGTCCTGGGTGCCATAAGAAAGCTGGCTGAGCCAGCTGTGAAGAGCAAGCCAGTAGGCAGCACTCCTCCATGGCCTCGGCTTCACGTTCTGCCTCCAGGTTCCTTCTTTGAGCTCCTGTCCTCACTTTTCTGAAAGATAGACTACAGCTTATAAATTAAAGTAAATCTTCTACTTTCCAAGCTGGTTTTTTGTTTGTTTTGTTGATTTGTGTTTTATAAAAGCAATAGAAACCTCAACCAAGACAGAAATTGGTACCAGGTTTTGGGGTACTGCTGTGATAGCCCTACTATGTGTTTGGGGGAGGATTAGGGAAGCATTTGAACTTTGAGCTGAAAAAGCCAGTGTGTGCTCAGGACTCAAAGGCCTGCTCTGTGGGGCATTAGAAGAACACTGAGAGCAATATAGGCAATGGTGGGTTGTCTTATGATGCTTCAGAAGGGAGTTTGAAGTCCTTCAGAAGGGAGTTTGTTAGTACAATATTTTGAGTTACGCACAATTAAAAGTGAAACCTTGGTTTTGCTGGGACAATGGATGCTGGTGATCTGGGGCTGAAGAATCAGTTGTGATTAAGAAGAGAAAAGATAAATCGAGGAAAAAAAAATCTTCTGGGAAGTGTTTCCTTAGTGTCAGCACACAGAAGCTGTGGTCCACAGGGGGGCAAGGCTACAGCTTGTGCTGGGAGCAAAAATTGGTAAGTCTTCAAGGTGGTGTTGGTTCTGAAGACATAAAGAGGTCCTGGAGAGCAGCTGGAGTGTGGCACTGTGTGTCAGGGCTACAGTCCCTGAGGAGAGGCCTGGGGGGCTGTGTGTCAGGCTGCAGTCCCTGAGGAGAGCCCTGGGGGGCTGTGTGTCAGGCTGCAGTCCCTGAGGAGAGCCCTGGGGGGCTGTGTGTCAGGGTTGCAGTCCCTGAGGAGAGGCCTGAGGAGGCTATTGGTGAAGACTCAGGCCAAGTGCAGAAATGACTCCAACATTTTGGAAATGTCAGTACCATGGGATGACCTCCAAGGACAGCAGCAGCAGTGGACTGGGGCTGGCCTGAGTGTAGACTTATGTCCTGTGGTAAGCTTTTTAGAGCCCAGAGTATTGGGAATCCCAGTGTCTGATGCTGATTTTATACTATTGGACTTGAATTTTGTTTTTATTTGAATGTAACTGTGTCCTGGTTTTTCCTTCTTTGAGTAAGAAAGTATGAATCTTCTTCTCTTCCTCTTCCTCCTCCTCTTCTTCCTCTTCTTCTTCCTCTTCTTCTTTATTACCATCATTATCACTTTGAGACAGAGTTTCCAGGCTGGACTTGAACTCAGAAATCCACCTGCTTCTGCCTCCCAAATACTGGGATTAAAGGTGCATGTTACCATGCCTGGCTATTCAACTTATTTTATTATACAGGAGCCTACAATTGAGAGACATCGGGTTTTAGAAAGACTTCGGATATTTCAGAGAGGCTTAAACTTTGAGAGACACTTAAATTATTCGTGCTATATTAAATTCCTAAGGTATTATTATAATTTATCATGATACTGACATAATATTAACATGTCATCTTGGAGACAAATGAGAAAGGGGAGGTTCTAGCTGAATAGTAATGTGTCTGTATGTCAAGCTGACAATTGTGGTGGCTAATTAAAATTGTATGTCACCTGGACACAAACTA